ATTAACATTTGTGTCGGTTCTTTTTCATCTTAATCCAACCTTGGTTAATAATCAGAAAATTCTACATAGTGGGTAAGAAGATGTAATTAACCCTTTGACCCCAGAATCTTAATTGGAGCCTGTTGAAAACAGTGGGGCAGTTTTAAAAAAAATTAAAAAGTAGCCCGTGGTGATTGAAACAACATAATAAATAATGGTTTTCTCAAATCAAAATTAAAAAGTGCTATGAAACTTCACCTTTAATCACATCTTATACATAAGCAATAAGTATAAACTGTCTCAAAATAGGAATATTATTAGTCTTTTTCTTGGATCAGAGATGCCCAAAATTTGGCTGTCTGAGGGCCTCATTAACAATTTTCAAGAACCCCAATAATGAGCATTAAATTGAGCTGATGGCAGCCAACCTCACGTTAAAAACAAAGGGGGAATGGAGCTTGAGATTGCAGGTCCCAAAATGTATATGCCATCTATATCTGAGTGGCTTCTGCTTATGTGAAAATGGAGCATTTTGTGGAGTCTGTTTAGTCTCTGCATGCCGCACCTCTGTACTAAGTTGACAATGGCTAGGAACAGAGTGTAGAACTTTGTAGCCCACGTCTGGTCCACAGGTCATGCTTGCCTTTGTTTTACAAAGTTTCTCTTTAGAAGTCTGGTCTTTGGTAGCGTCTCTGGGGTCCTCAAATGGAAAGAGAGCTTTAAAATTTTGCTACAGGGATACACCTGTGTTTTTCTAACAATAGTTATGCAATTGGACATATGTATGTAATTCAAATCATACTTCCAAGAATATCTCTTTGCTAAACAAAAATTGGCAGCAAACATGTAGCGTACCATGGTGTCAAATACTCTTCTACAACACACCTTCCCTTAGCCCCTCCACCACCATTGTTTGAAGGCTGGATGGTGTCTTGGTGTGCACAAAGGACACAGGCTTTATGAAAAACTGAAAAATTTCAACACGCATTACCTAAATAATAAATATTCATAAATAATACCTATGAATAACAAATGAGACAGCCCTTCACAGATACTGTTTGACCTGTATAAGGAACAACAACGTTGGCACAAGGGTGCTTAGCCCATCTTTGCCCTCTCATATATTTAGGATGGACTAGATTGCATTAGAAGGTTTTCCTATTTTTGCGGGAGGAGTTGTTCTAGATACTATAAATTGAGTTTGTCTTTTCCTTCCACCACTTTAAGGTCTTTCTCTCATTGCCCTCCATTTCAGGAATTGAAATAGTTAGCTCTTTAGTAATCTAATACGAAATGACTTTTTTCAAAATGTGATCAGATGCACATTATATACAACTCATTTTGCTCTTCTGACCCTTTCAAATGCTGAATTCTGTCAGTGTTGATACACAAATATAACAGGAGCGGGGGGTGGAAGGTAGGGGTGAGGAAAGAGAAAGTAAGAGGAGGAGGAGAAATCCAGGGGGTCAAAAGGATATGACATGCAGGTAACTAAAAGAGTCCTTGAACAGGAACATTAAAAGGGAATCTGCCTTGTTCTTGTAACAATCACAAAATTGTCCAGGGAGCTGAGTAGTTTGATCTGAAATGACAGAAAATGACCCTCTAATTGTGGCCCTTAAAAACAGATACCATTTGAGGGGCTTGGAAGCATTGTTTCTAGTGGAGTGAGTTCAGTGGACAAAGTCCAGTCATAAAGAGAAACTACATGTAAATATCTTGAAGCTGGGAGGGTCTTCAGAGCCTCAAGTATTAATATGAACAGACAATTCAATTGTGGTCTGTTCAGTTAACATACAAGGTACCAGGAGTGCAACACGTGTTTGAGAGGCATCAAAACTACTACTTTCTGGGTGGAAATTCCAGCAGGTGAAAGGAAAGGGAGAGCATTGACCCTGGCTGTCTTGAACTGTTCCCATAATGTTTGGTATTCAAAGCTGCTACACCTTTTCGCCTCTTTAGTTGGAGTTGGTCCTGCTTTGAGAAGGGGGTTGGACTAGATGATCTCCTGAGGTCTCTTCCAAACCTAATCTTCTTCTTCTATGATTCATCCACCCTCTAGTAACTCAAACTGGCAAAATGGAGGAAATCTTATGGGAATAGTCATGAGTCAGTCACACAGAGAGGAAAAACAGCTTTGTGGTATGCTTCCATGGCACCACCAGTCCAGGAACATCCCAGCCATAGTGCTTCTCAGGCAACTCCATGAGGCAAAGGTGGCGAACAGCCTCCCACAAAGGGATGGGGGAGCAGGAACAGTCACTCCTACACCAGGAAGGAGTAGAAGATTAAAGCTATTTAACTGAGAGAAGCAACAAATAGGTGATATGAATGAGTCACTATTATAGTGGGAGTTGGCAATGACACCTGTAATTAAAGGTGATTAACACATTCCATTGTAAGACCCTGTTTTCAGTTGCTCTTAACTTTTCAGACTTTAACCATTCAGGCTGAAATTTTCCATGCCTTGTGTCTACTTGAGGATAACTGTTTTTGTTTTGTTTTGTTTTGTTTTTTTAAAGCTTCAGCAAAAATGGTTGAGCTGTTTCCAAAAATGAGGTTAAGGAAAACTATGTTGCTTTGTCGATATTAAAAAAAATGTACTGCCATTTTATTGAGAAGCCTAAATTCCTAAACTTGATGGTGCTCAGACTTGCACTTTGTCCAGGATATAATCCAGGTGCCTTTTACTAATGTCACCACAAAAATTACACCAAGATTTGTCCAAATGATTATATAATATAGCAAACAACATAGAAAAGATCAATGAGGCACTCCTGCTGAATTTACCCTTTCTCATAATATAAGAACAAAAAGGCTGAAAATGTAAAATTGACAGGAGGAAGAACCTTTTATGCAACACATAATTAATCTGTGGAACTCATTGCCTCAAGATATTATTGAGACAAAGAGCATAACAGGATTCTAAAAAGGAACAGACATTTTTATGGGTAATAAAGAATATCTTCAGTTACACTAGTTATACATTTGTGCTTAATGACCTAAGCCAACTACTAACAGCCTGAGGTTAGGGACAAACTTTCCCAGTTGACCTCTTATTGCATAAATGTCCACTACGGATATTTCACACATTCCTCTGAAGCATCTGGTATTATCCACTGTTGGATACAGGATACTGGAATAACATATATAGACCGGTGGCCTGATTAATATGGCAACAACTGTGTTCTGTAGCCAGTGTGGGGAGATAATGGCAGCATGTTAACGAGTCAATGTGATGTGACTGCTGTTGGAAAGAGGCACTCTATCAAATACACCAACACATGGCCACAGAGTCATAGGGTTCTCAATACTATTTATAGTTGGGGTTCAAACAACGTTTCCTGCACTATTGGTAGACCCATGTTCCTGAAGAAGCATGGAGCAGATTCTCAGGACACCGTAAGCCACAGAGCTTTTAAAGGAACCCTCCTCTTCTGACCTTTCTCATTAAGGAGGGGTAATAGAACAGAACAGAGACACAGTAGCAGAAGAGATGTTTAGAGAATGGAGGATACTACATTTATAAAAGTTTTAATTTTGCCCTTGTATAGGTCTAAATCTGAATTCCACCATTCCAGATTTTTCACCTGTTATTGCTGTTAAAGTTCAAGGAGCCTATGTTAATCATGTGGGGGGAAAGGGGGGAGATGATGATTTATAAGATGCCGTAAACTGCTTGCATAGTATAAATGTTTTACTTGAAGAAAGTCTATGTAGATTTACATTTTTATTAATTCATAAATATAAATTAGAGAGCCTTTCTTTAATGCAATATCTTTTGTGAGTGTTTGTTTTCCAATGTGTGGTTCGTTCTTTTGAGAAAACACAGATTTTTGAACTAATTCCACCATCTACTACATCAGAGAGGGGTGAACACTTGCCAAAGTCAGCTTCTGACCGGCAGTATGTTAGAAATTAATCAAGAAGCAAAGGAATCAAAACATTAAAAAGCCTCAGAAATCACTGCTCTGTATTTGAAAAAGAGTGAATTATTGCAGTCACTTTGGCATCTTATATTTTTCTCTAAATTTGTGTGCAACTCTGTTATCTTGTTCTTCCAAGAACATGTTGATCTCAAATGTAATACGGTTACATTTTTGCTTTACACATACCTGTATCCCAAGGCTTGGATTTGGGATATTTCCTCATTTGCAACTTCTTATAGTATTACTCATCTCTATAAATTTGTGATTTTGCTTCGGCAAACATTACGTATATGTTTTGCCAATAATTGGCCTCAACAGAGGAATAAAAATGAAATGCCATGTATTCCCAATGAAGAGGCATATTTTCATCTTGATGTGTAGTGATTTACTCCATGTATCAAATTTAGAATATATCTCTTTATTAACTGCGGTCGTGTTTCAAAAGCTGTGAATTAATGTGTATAATCATATCTTGATTTTTCCATTTGCTATGGAAACCAGATCTAAAGACTTGAACTTGTCAGAATAAAATTGAATCTAGTTTTACACTGAAGGGATTGAAGTCATAAAATTTCTATAGACCCAACATAGTTGACAGTATCTGTTGATTGGCTTTGTTTGTTCGCCTACAAAAGGCACGTGTGTTTGTGTGTGTGTGAGGGGAGGGAGGTGTAATCCTGGATTAATTGACAAACTATGGCGGTCCATAATGGTTCAAGTGATGATCTGAATTTTTCTCTTGCTCAGTTTTTTGGGAGGGGGAATTTCCCCCTTTGCTACTGCATAATTTTTGCAGATAGAAAAACTGAAGTATATTTGGTATTATTTTTTCCATATTTCTTGTTGCATGCAAATGAGAATAAATTACACATAATGTATCTATGATTTAAGGAAGACAAAAAATTCCTCGTACTTTGGTATATACCTGTGTGCTGTTTGTGCATATATAAATACAATATACTATAAAAGAAGTGTATTCGGGATACAAGTTTAAAATGTTTATATATGTTCTCAATTCAGTGTTTGATGCCTTTGTTTTAATCTGTTACCAGCTTTGCATCAATCTATTCAATTTTTTTTCTTACTCTGCAGTCCCTGGATGGATTTGTATTTGCACTAAACCAAGAAGGAAAATTTTTGTACATTTCAGAAACAGTCTCCATCTATTTAGGCCTATCGCAAGTAAGTAAAAATTTTCGATTCTAGAATGTAATTGTGTAAACTGCACTTTTCTGCTAAAGTAATAATCTGTTTTGCAGTATTTTGCATGAATTATTGAATCCATTACTTAAGGTCTGTGTCTCATTCATCCTGAGAAGTAATTGAGAAGTATGTGTCAGTATTGAATGTTTAGATAAAATAAACTTGGGCCTGAAAACTTTTTGTCACAAAAGATCATTATTAATTTATTGAGAACAAATGAAGTTTCTTTTCTCAGTTGTTTTGAACTTTAAACCTCTATACCTGGTAGGAAAGGGACACACTAATAGTACTTCCCTTGTGTCCTATTACTGGATGTTTATGGAGTACTCTTTATTATCCTGGGAGCTGACACAATGACAGGGAGTCATTTGGAGTCAAGAAATGCTGAAAGAGACCATTAAAATGTCTTGCAGGGAGGGTTCCAACAAGGACATTTTGTAGCCTTCACAAATGTTCACTAATACGAAATGACAAATTTATAAAATACAGTATTTTGATTATTTGTAGTTTAATTGCTGACATCTGTTTTTCAGAGGCTAAAAGGGAAGGAAAAAGGAAAAGTTGCTTGTTGTGGCTTATTGCTAATCCTACTGCATTCAGAGGCTTCTAGCCGAAAAATCTCCCTTCTATTTGGATTCAGAAATGCAGCAGAGAGTTTTTGCATGATGATTTGCCAAGTAGGATAATCTACTTCTAGTACAGTCACCCCGAGGAGATAAAAATTGAGATAATGTTTGTGTCTGCTCTTTTAAATGGGGACCCATAGTGAACTTGTTGCTTGAGTAAGTTGGCACAGCTCAGAGGAGGCAACTATTAGTATTGGAAGCTTTCAAAAGCTAGTGATTTTGTTGTGCCCCAGCTACATTAAGAATGATATTTTAAAAGAATGAGAGAGATTTTAATGTTTGGTGCAGAAAAAGACCAAATTTAAATATTATCTGATGAGAATCAGAGTAAGAGTTATTAACTCTGCAAAGAACACCCAAGCAATTGGCTATCGTGTGTACAGCAATTGTGTTTTGTGGTGGCTCTAGCAAACGGAATGATAGAAATAGAAACGGAGCTATTTTAAATTCCATATTCATATTCTTGTCTCTCATTGAAGTCCCTAGTTTTGTAATGGGCTTTAATCCCTGCCTTAATCTGTTTGGGAGCTGGTATCAAGGATCTCAGGTTTTGGAATTGGTGCACCACCAGGTTGCTAAAACAGTAAAGAATCAGAACTTTAATGTTGTTATTGTCTTAAGCTCATATTAATCTGTTTTATGCATAGTATCCAACAAAGTTTAATAAGCCAATAAAGAAAAAGGATGAATAATTAGTTTAAGCAGGTAAATGCTAATTAGGGAACTCCTGAAAGGCATCCATTATACACTAGCTTAAAACAAATTTTACAGCGCTGGTTAGTGGTGTAATCCAAATTCTGTCAAGGCAACTGCATTTTCTGTAATTGAGATGTGTATGTTTGCTTTGCATAACAGATGGCTCTGTATGCTTAGACTGATAGCTAGGAAAATAATAATTGCATTATTCTGGCCAAAAGAATATTAGCTCTTGGGTTTTGGCCATTTCAGTCAGTCCTCCTGCCAGCACAGCATATGCACATATATGGATTGGATTTTCAAGGAAATTGATGCATCTGGAATAGTGTGGCCATCTGAAATATCATCTGTTAAAGAAAAATGTGGCTTTAACCCTATGCTAGTCTCTTGTAAAATTTTCTTCCACTGCTTTTTAACTGTAATAGTTGGTAAGACTCTCCTTATTCTAAACTTGTGTCAAGTTGTTGAGCCATTACACTTCATCCTTTGAAGCAAGCGTTCAGATGAATAAAGCAATTACTATTTTTCTTAATTATTTGGGTGACTGTAGCACATAGGACTTTAGTTATGGACCAGGACACTATACTAGGTTCTGTACAAACATGGAACAAAAAGGCATTCCCTGTCCCGAAGGGCTTACAGTCTAAGATGAGAGACAACAGGGGGATGCAGGCCGGTGGGGGAGTACTAAGAAACAATGAGACAGTATTGGTCAGCCTGATGGGATGTGGTCTCAGCACATCAGCAGCCTAACCATTGTCATGTTTTTTGTAGGCTTAATGGAACAGTCTGGTTTTGAGGAGGGTTTTGAAGGAGAGCAAGTTAGATTTTCAGAGGTTTATGAGGAGCTTCTCTCAAGCATGAGGGGCAGTGTGGCAGAAAGCACAAAGGTGCTTGTTAGAAAATGTAACAAGTGGATGATGGAGGCTGGCATCCTGATCAGATCGGAAGCGGGGTCTGACATTTTGATAACAAATGAAACGTGATGGGCAGGATAGGGATAGCCATGAAAGGCCTTGTAAGTGAAGATGAGTAGCTTATGTTTGATGTGCTTGAGACAGGAACGCCAATGGAGGGATTGCCTAAACATGTTACAGTATTTGACATATCATAACATCTCTTTGCATTTACTAATCAAGGTATCAGTGAAAAATTTTGTTGAAAAATCAAGAGTGAGATTGTGGACTTCATCAGCATAATAAGTGAAATCTGCTGAGGGCCTTTGATTTACCCACTAAAATATGTCAGGTTGGTGTCCCCACCAATCTTTGCTTAAGACATTTGTACTTTATCAGGCCATAAATGAGTAAACATTGTGTACACTGTATACATCCTTACCACATTTTTTCAGTTGCCTTCCTGTAAATGCTGTAAAAATCTTACAGATGCATCATTAGCAGTAGCAAAAGGAAAACTGCAATCATGCATACTAAATAACCATTCAAACGCTTTATTTATTACAAAGAGCTGATTGGCAAAAATAGCCATGCAAACAAATTCTTGCAGTACAAAGGAAATGCTAATATGTCACTACAGTGACTTCAAAATAGTCCAAAGTGAGGAAGCCATTGCGGTATGTTGTTATTTCATTGAATTGTGATATGTGATGAAGCTGGCAAGAACAAGCATTAATGGGATATGAACACATAAGATATCTTACCTCCAATTCTTTGCATTATAGAATCATAGAAATGCAGGGCTGGAAAGGATCTCGAAAAGTCATCAAGTCCAGTCCCCATGCTGAGGTAGGACAAAGTAAATGTAGACCATCCCTGACAGGTGTTTGTCCAACCTGTTCTTAAAAATCTCCAACGACTTGGATTCCACCACCTCCCTTGGAAGCCTATTCCAGAGCTTAACTACCTTTATATAAAGTGCTATAAGATAAATATTGCTTGATTCCTCTGTGAGGCTGGCCGAAGGTAGATTTGGGTAGAATGCACCCTGTAGACACTTTGTGAAACTTCTAAAACATTCCATAATGTAAATTCTAAGCTTCTTCAGTTGATTCCTCTTCCTGAAGTGCTGGCTTATAAGTTTTATTTTAATGTCTAGTGCTGCTTTGCTGATAGTACTTTGTTTCTGTTTCTTTGTCTTTTTTATTTAATATGAATGAAAATTAGGTAGCTCGTTTTTTTTTAGAAATAGACAGGAAAAATGTCACATCCAGTTAAGAGAAAACAGTCTTTTGACCCAACTTCAAAGGATGAATGTAGAGTTTTCTCCGTGAGCCCAATTTTTCTCTTTTGTGTACCTTGAGAGTCAGTGGTTCAATAAAATGGATGCTGATGTGCAAAGTAAGATTAATAGTAACGAAATCTGACAATACTAATCTCTCTAGAGCTAGTCTGGGGGGGATAATAATGAGGTTACTTGTTACAAAGTCTGGGCCTACTTTAATAATAAATAAAAATTGTAATAACTACTCTTTCAACATTGTAATGATTGTACATTGCATATAGACATCAAAATATATCTATTTGGATTTTAAACACTTTGGGCTGGATTCACAAAAGGATGTATGTGCCTATATCCCAGAATCAGACCCTTCCCCTCCCTCCCTCCCCCCGGGATTAACACCCCTCATCCCTCTCAGCTGCCTCTAAAATTACTTGGTACCTAAAATTTTTGAAGTTAAAGGCACCCCTCTTTCTGCTTCTGAGCACACTCACTGCAGCCCCATACCAGGCACTCGGATGCCTAAGCCACAGAGCGATGCACAAATCAGGAGAAGGTAGGTGTTTCTCTGCCTGCAAGGCTCAGTCTGGTAAGCATGCTCAGACCTTATCTAGTGGATTGGGCTCCTGTATACAAGTTTACACAAAACAACTGGTAAGAGTGTGGGGAGGGGAAGGAGACATTCCCTTGGAACGATCAGCCCAGTGACTAAGGAACTCTCCTGATTGGTGGCAGATCCCAGTTCAAATCTCTTTCCCCCCTCAGGGGACTTGAACCGGGGGTTTCTCGCATCCATACTTACATACCAGGTGAGTATCCTAACTACTGGGCTAAAAGTTATGAAGGAGCATGTCCTCCCCCCACCCTCTGCCTTCTTGCTAAAAGCACCTAACACCAGGAGACGGTTTATAGCTAAGAATCTCAAGCAGAGGAAGGTGTCTCCCTGTAGCCGAGACTAAAGTGCCCATCTCTCAGAGATGAGCAGGGCTTAACACACATCCCTTGGCTTTGTACCTCTCATTGGCTACCTTATGCGAGGAGCCTCCTTGCATGCTGGCTTTTGTGAATCCCATTCTGAGATGCCTCTCTCTTCCCATTCATTGTATTGAAAACCTAGGTGTTGAACTCAGGCTTTGTGAATCCCAGTGATTTTCTAGACACCTACATTTCTTTGTGAGTCTAGTCCTTTATCTTCAGGCTAGTGATGACTGGGAATTTTATGTTAGTTGGTTTGTAGAATTTGATTTTAGAGTGCTTCTTCCAAAACAGTTCACTCTGGAATGGTATTGAGAGCAGTTTCAGAGAATATCAGATGCACATTTGTGGCAGATACTAAGGAGAAAAGATGAAGGAAACTAAAATAAGGGTTTAAGAGTTAGAAGAAATGGGCTACATTGTATAGGCCATATCCTCAGCTTGTGTAAATCTGCACGGTTCCATTATGATTTGGCCCTATGTTCCTCCCAGTATAAAGTGGTC